TATTTTATTATTCTGTTCGCTTTGGTTGTGTATAATACACGATTACGTTCTAGAAACATCAATGCCGATTTTTATGATTCGCTTAATATCAGTCAATCAATTGGTAAATGACATTCAAAATGAAAATAATGATGTTGTGCATGAAGAAGTGGATTCATTCGAAAGCAATGATGATGACAGAGATAGAGATGTCGATTATGTGCCATTTGAACATGCATCGGATATTGAAAATGAAATCAAAATCGAGCCAAATGAAATATTAGGTAGCGACAAAGAGGAAGTAATGGATGGTGTAGAAGAAGAAGAGCGTGAAACTCCAGCTGCTACTGAAACTTCTTACTACGGTAAAGATGGGCCAGAATTAAAAAAAGAGCCTAATGAAGCAATTCGTACTCGTGCACTCAATAATATGCGCTTTAAGCCTGGAAGAAACAAAACTCTATTCCCATTGAGGTATTCAAACAGTTTTTTACTACCAATATTTCATTCCGTTATAAGAAGAGGCCAATTTGTAAATGGAATTCAGAAAATCTAACCTTAAAACCTAAAGTTTGGGTGGTTTTCACTAGCACCGAACTTGATGCATTTTTTGGCATTCTTATTGTTTCTGGTGTAACGCACAGTAATATGCAGTTTGTCACTTTTGTGGCAAATAGATGCTCTTCCCATCTTTCAAGCGACAATGCGACTCAAACGATTCAAGTTATTGACGCGATATATCCGTTTTGATGATGGCCGCATACGTTTATTCCGACTACAATCTGATAAGACTGCCGCAATTCGCGATATATGGAATTTTTTAATGAAAACCTCGACTGAAACTATGAGCCGCATGAAAATGTAACGATTGATGAGCAATTTTTTCCGTATCGTGGCAAGACAAAGTTACGCAATTCATACCATCAAAACCAACCAAATACGGTATGAGAATCTGGTGGGCACGTGACTCACAAACAAAAGACCCATTGCAAGGTATATTGTACAATGGAAAAAAGGATATCGGAGAGCGTGAAGTGAACCAAGGAGAAAATGTATTGCTCAAACTTGTGAAACGGTACGAAGACACCGGCAGAACAATAGTAGGTGATAACTTTTTCACAACACTGACAGGAGCCAAACGATTGGCTACCATTGAACTTGCTTCCGTCGGTACTATTCGCGCCAATAAGAAGTGTTTACCCGAAGAATTGAAAAAAATCCGCCTCGTCCGTTGCTTTCTATTCTTTTCGGGTTTCACGATAATCTCGTTTCGATTTGTAGCTATGTTCCGAAAAAGAACAAGGCAGTCAATTTGATTTCAACCCTACACTACACAAAGGATTGTGAAGGTGAAGCCAATAAACCGGAAGCAATTTTATTTTATAATTCAACAAAGGCCGGCGTTGACTTCATGGTTCAGATGGTTACCCATTACACTACAAAACGGCCAACGAAACGATGGACATTTGCCTTTTTTGCAACTTGTTGGATGTGATGGGATTGGCTGCTTTCGTAGTTTGCAAAGAAATCGACCATTTAGATAAAAAAGCTCAAAAATTATTCATATGCTCTACATTTCTTATATACATATATTCTACATTTATGAGCGTAAATACAACACGTATTTCCATAAAAATGTATATAAACACAAGCCTAGGTCTACGGCCTAGCCAAGCACCATTAGTCTCGACTAAGTGTATCAGATCGTTGGTCTCGACCAGGGTTAAAAAAGCTCATTCCTAACTTACTCCACCTGACTGAAAGCGTACACAGCTAGTTTTTTCGACATTTCCCAAATTGGTAAACTATATCAAAAACGTAAAGCCAAACACACTCACACATACATATAGGTACACGCAAAAAGTATGCTCACGAATAAATGTGCTACGAAGTTAAGCGTCAGTCAGCCGCTGTGCGTGTATATTCATATATAGTACATATGTATGTACATATATACCTTCTTATGCATGCATGTCAGTAAACAATGTAAGTAACTGTATAAATATATACGTAACCATTGGACTGCTGGTCCACCTCAAACAGTGGTCGGTGCATGCCAATTGCTGCCGCTGCGTGTCCGCAACGAATTTTTCTTCGTCTCGCGCAACAATTTTGGTTTTGAAATCAAAATTCCGTTATTCGTTATTCAGTTAGCCAGTCGCTCAGTCAAGTTGAGTGGCCGTATTAGCCGTGTTCAATATTGGTACATTGGTTATTATATATACATATGTAGGTATGCATGTATATATACCCCTAAAGCGAAACCATATATTTATACATATATATATATAGATATATATGGGTATGTAGGTATATATGTAAGTATATACGTATGTAAGTATATTTGCTTGCTGCTTCGTTTATTTAATGTGTGGAATACAATGCTCGCGACAGACTGCAAACGACATCTGTCAAATATTAAAATACACACGTTCTTATGGACGGACCCATTTTGACAGCTGTACGACTACACGACGGCAGGCCGACAGTTGTCGTTCTCGCTAACTTCAATTTTATCCTATATTTGCCAACGATAGTAGGACGACAGTAGAGTTGACAGTAGAATGGAAGATAGAAAGATGAGGTAGAGTGGTGATGCCACTAATATGTAAAATATAATATTACTCAAAGCTCTAACAAACCCGACGTTATTTTACAAATAAAAGCATAAAATAGCTCTGTTACATCGTTTATAATAACAATTTATAATTTAAAACAAATAAATTTACCTATTTACTTATATTTTGCTTAAAAATATCACTTTGAACAAAATATTAAAATTTCATTGAAGTACAAGGTATTAGTATGGCCACAACGAAATTGTGTACATGCAAAATGGACAACTGCGTTGTTTTGTGTACATGCTGGCTATTGTTATGTTGCTGCCTTCTCACAAACGTTCATGTAGTAGGATTCACAACGCCATTTTCAGTTCACTGTCGTGCTGCTGCAGTCTGTCGCGAGCATTGTGTTCCTCACATGATGAACTTTCACTATTTGGTAAATTTCGTTTTTTATTCTCTTTGATTGCACTTTAGCTAATTCAATATTTTCCTTATTACTTTTTTGTCCATTTTTTTACTTTAGAGTATCGATGTGGTAAGACAGTATGCACTTTCTATTATTTCGATAATTATAATTTTGTATCTTAGTCAGTATCTATATTACGTTTGTCTAAAGACAGATTTGACTGATACCGCATGATTTCCTAATTGATTGTAATACATCTTTATCATCGTTGCTTAACAGAGATCTGCTGTGCAGTGTAAGTAAATAGTAATTGACTGAAATATGAAAATAAATAAAACAGAAATTTTAAATTTGTAACTGAAACAATCATACAGATTAATGACTGGAAATTATTTTAAAACAAGAAAAAAAGTTAACTTCGTTTGAAGCTCTAATAATCTTCACACGTGAATTTTTGATAGCATGAAATTATACCCTTTCATGCATCTTTATTTTGTTTTTTATCGGTCAATTTGGATGACAGCTATAGTAGTTCGATTTGAACAATATGTTCGGGGGTTTTGCTGATGTCTTGGATAATAATCTACATCGAATTTTGTGAAAATAACTTCACAAGTTTTCTACTTAAAGACTTGAGTTTTATCTGTTAGTTGTATGTCAGCCATATAGTTGACGATTATCGGGGATTTCAGCTAATTGAAGTCGTGTCTAAATCGATTCATCTCATCAATCTGACCATTTATTTATATATTTCTCCTCTTAATTTATTACTTACATTGCCTATTTAAAACTATTGATAACACTTGTAAGCACTGTTTTTGACACACGAATTTTCTAATAAAGCCCAGTTTTTTTCTGACATTTTTTAAATAACTTCATTTACATATTGGATTTTATAACTGCTGCAATCGACGTTAAATCTTAACGTCGTTTTTCCTGCCTCTAAATGTGTAACGTATGTGGGACTGCTATTCGGACTTAACAGGAACCCAGACATATGAGATTTGCCAATGATAACAAATATTTTTAATGAAATCAAAGAATCATGTAAGTGAATGCTATTTTTGTTTGACTCAAACAAGAGGCAATACAACCAAGTCTTTCCAGTATCCAAATATATCTTCGGTCAACCATCATTGCACAAAAAGCTTGGCATGATAAATTTTTTGCAAAAACTATGCTTAGAGGTGGTATTGCATCTGCATATTTGAAAAAGAAGTTGCATAAACTTAGAAAGGCAAAAATTAAAGAGCTTTGGAAAACTGAATGATCAGGAAAACCTTCTTGAAATTGATTTGGGAACGTTGTTCCAAATTTTCTACAAAATCATATATCGGAAAGTAAAAAATTAAATCAACTTATAGTGTCATATAAGGCTATGAGATGGTGATATCTCCTTAAAAATTTGGTAAAATGGCAGTACAAGGCGAGCGCTTCCATCGGAACATTTCCTTAATGGAGAAGCGTAATCAAAGGAAACAGTGTTAACATTTCTTCATTTACTTATCACTGTTTAGTAGCCCTAGTACGTTTAAAATTTTATAAAAGCTTTCATGTGACAAAAAAACAAAAAATTTTTTAATTGTGTTAACCAGTGTAAAAGCGTTTCTATATAATTCTCATTCAAGTATAAATCTCATTTATTTGTTGGCAAAAAAATCTTTATTAAAAAATGTAGATGGATTTTTTATGTTCATAGAACTATCTAGTTATGGGATTTTCTATGTTTTGTTGTTTATTTAAACTCACTCGAAATGTATATTTTGTGTACCGAAATTCTCACTTAATCGATTAGATGTTGATCGTGCTGTTGGTGATGTACAATATTTTAGGAAAAAACTTCAGGCAAAGCATATTTTTTTATTTATAATTCTCTCAACTAAAATGCTATTGTATACAGTTATAAATAAGTGTTTATAACATTTATCACATGATATGAAAATTATGTTTTCAGATGTCTCAAAATTGTGGAATTAAGCGTTTTGTGGTTAAAAAATGATGGACACGACGCGCCCTAAACTTTGAGACGGAAAAGGGTTAAAATGACTCACCGAAATTTGCGCACCAAACGGTGAATATGCCACCGATGAAGCCAGTTGTTGTGACTGTTGCTGCTTGCCGTCATTGCTTATGAATAGCAGCTGCTCTTGATATGAGCCCGGTTGGGTGTAAGCACTGTTGGACAACGCATTACCGCCACCACGTGACGCTGTCAAATAAGCCGCCTGCGCTGGCTGGCGATTCGACTGGAACGCAACGGATGGCACAAAGCGCGTCTGTGTGTTGGGTGTGGCAAAATAGTAGCCCGATGTATCTGCAAATAAATGAATAGCAAACAAAGATAAAATAAGAAACAACAATATAAACAGCATAATAAATTCAAGTGAAAATGTATAAGCAAATAGAAAATTAATTAAATGCTAAACAATGGAGTAAACATATAATGATTTGCGCAAAGTAAGAAAAAGAAATGGATTACGGTTAAAAAGAGATTTGCTTTCGAACTGGAAGTAAACAAAAAACTACAAATGGATGGTGTGGTTATCTTAACTAAAATGTTATATTTGCATTGGTTTATGGAATATGTAATTTTGTGTATTGAAAGTCATTAGAAAGCATTGTCCATTGAATGCTGTAGCTTTCTGATTTATACAATATTTTTAGCTGATTTGTATAGGTTGTGTGTTGGCAGAAAATATGGAAATAATTACAGATTTCTTTTCATTAGTAATCAAATTTAATATTGCCCCAATATTAAGGTATAAACTCAAGTACATCATTTAGGGGTAAAACTGAACGAAAGGCTGAAAAGCTAAAAAAATAAAATGTTAAATAAAACCAATTGGGAATAAAACATAGAACATTCCTAGAATGCAAACAAATACATGAGTGCTCCGGATGAGAATTGCTTACGGTAAAACATTAATGAGAGTGAGAACTGCTGCGGTTAAAATTTAATATAATATAATTTCTCAAAACTTTTCAGTTTAAATATAATGACTTCATTTATAGGTGGCAACCCCTTTTTAATAACTATTTCCCACTATATTATTATATTATTTTTCTGAATTAAAAAATTTAATTTTGGTGGCAGCTCACCTGAAAATATGTTTTATTTTTCTTTAAATTTTTAATCCATATTATGATATCCATATGGTCGTATTTTCATCTTATCAATTTTTACTTTTCAAAATTTCGGGGTGATAATTTGATATATGTATAATTTTTCATTCCTACTGCACGCATTATCTATATTTTATATTATTTCGATTTCATGGCAATTTAATTCACTTTACAATTCAATGTCTTTGTCAATCACAACAATGTCAAAACCGCATCAATCTAGAGTCAAAACAAGCATTTGGCAAGCACTGCCAAAACATTTATAAATTCAAGTAGACAAAGCAAACGTCAAAAGTTATATAATAGTTGCGTCGCGTTAAGTCAGCATGTTGACATATAACCTTCACTTTGACAATAAACAGTAATTAATACATATTTTTGTGCCAAAGATACCTTTCCATGAAAATACAAAATTTAAACTTCTTCAAACAGATTTCATATTCATTCTAATAAAATATAAAATTTTTATTTGCTAAAAAAAGTATATTCCCTCGCAAACTGTTATACGGGACCCGTTGCAGACCCTAGCAATTGTCGGTCAGCACAGGTACGGCGGAAAGGAAGGAACGATTTTATCTACCTTCTTTGATTAGAGTCTTTAATCATGAAACGATTTTAAAAAACTCCTGCCAAACGAAGAAGGTGCCCCTCTATACTACAATAATATGCAATAATTGCGTGAAAAACATGTACAATTATGAGTTGAGGATTCGAACCTTCGATTACTACCACAAATTTAACGAAACGTTAGCATGCTCGACCAACGGTTCAACATTCAACAATTTGCTACTGCGTTATTTCACCCCAGCATTACCCCAGAATTCAGTGTGATGAGTTCTTTAAAAAAATTCACCATGAAATTTCTTTACGGTGTTTTTAGTCAAAATTCACTTAGTTGTGTTGTGTTTTATACTGTTGTTCTCTTTGCTAATGATGTACTCTCTTCAACCATACTCTCTTTCGCTCAGTAATGGTGAATCATAAGTAGCCATGTAAATAAAGTCTGCAAAGTGCAATTCGCACCTTGTCCAATTGTCAATAATTAAATTCTCATATGAAGCTACATAGGTCTAACAATAAATGAGCTATAGACTGATTCACTAACATATATTGGCTGCCTTACTAAGCAAGTGATTTACTTGCGGGAAATGAATACTTTACCTGACTGACTAAATAATTTACGAAGCGTGTATGAGACTCACAAGCGCAACAAATGGATTTCTATTTACATTCTTACATCAAAAAATGTTCACGCGTGATGGTAAAAGCATAAATATAATATTTATTTTTAGCCATCATAACAATGTTGTTGCTCGCACATATATAATTTTTAATTAAAATTATAATTTGCTTGCGCATTATTGCACACATTTTTCGGGGTTCGTTACAGAGGCGCTCATTTGACGCGAGTTTTTGTGCTAACTTCATTAGAAGCGGTTGTAGTGTGTAATATGAAGTGATGTGGACTTGAAGTAATAAATAAGGAATCTTCATTGAAGCCGCCGACAATTATTTGAAATATAAAGAATATAACTTTTTCTTAAATTTAGATTGAGTCGCTTAGTTAGATAAGTAGATGTAGAAATCACCTAAGAGTTAAGTAAAATATCGAAAAGTTCAGGCTTGAAATTTTCTGCAAAACTTCTTGAGCTCACTTACGATCTTTCGTCTTCTTTACAACCTGTAGTTAAGGTATAAAGTTAAGGTACTTTAAATTTACTAACACATGGTGGATCCGTGCTACATTTACGTGCTACCAACGGTGGGAAAATGATTTGTAGAAATTTCTTGCCGCTGATAGAAAGATAAAAGGCAGGGTTATCACGCTTAGCATATGAATTAGCTTCCATTAAACCTATTTATTTCTTCGACACGATGAAGGAATTGGAAAATCTGAGTGACTTATTTACTAAGCAATTAGGGAGTCAATTTTACGTAACAAGATGTTAAGTATATTATTCAGCGTACTTTGGAAACTATCCCTACTACAGCACGGATTCCATGAGTCGATAGATGGATCCAAGATCGACTATATTTCGTCGTAGTGAGCTTTGTCAGTTTCATTGCTTTACGGCTAGCCACAAACCAAGAGGAGAGTAATCGGTCTAAGCTAGTAAATCTTATGATACATATGATATATATTATGTATATGAATTTTTTAGTTTTCTTTATCTCGAATTGAAAGTGACTCTTTGTACGTAGTATTTGTAGTTTATTAACTCCAGTGCCCCGGCTTACGAGTGTATTTTTCATATTCAAAGCCTCTTCTATTATTTATTGTCACACCTTATTAGATTCTTCATGCAAAAATGATATCGTCTTCTGCCTTGCCTTCTATGGACCTGTCTTCTGCAATTGCACTGTGTCGCTGCGAACATAACTCGTTCTATCGTGTCTCATCAGCATATTGCAGCTTCATCGAAAATTGTTGTTGTTTTGTGTGTTTATTTTTTTGCTAGCATATTCACTTGCCTACCAAGCATACCACATATGTTCTGAAGATTTAACGCTCTTACTTGTTTGTCTACTTATCTGAATGCATTTTTGGTGCTTCAGCTTTTTGCGGCTCGTTTGCCTTGATGCGCGCTTGCCACAAACCGCTTTATAAAGCTCTAACATGCAAACATATGTATACTTGGTTATCTCGCCATCTTTCACTCGATTCTCGGTTGTTGGCACGGTTTTTTGAGACTCTATCGCTTGTTGTTCAGTATTCGTTTGGTTGAGAAGCCCATAGCTACTGCCGGTACACTTCTCTTCACCAATGGAATTCTGTGCAGTACTTAGTATTCATTTGTATACCCTGGTGTAAAATATGGGGTAGTTTTGTGAAACTAACGACCCTTAGTGACTACGTGAAGTACCGATCCTACAACAGCTGGCGCTACATAACCAAAACGCAGCCCAGTATTTGGGTCCTGTCTAAGCCGTAACGAATATAGTTTTTTTTATCAATCTTTAAAATTTAGGATTATGAAAAAATACCTGGATTGTAAGATTCATGTTGACAACTTACACACTTTAGAACAATCAGTTATTAACTAAAATTATATATAAAACGGCTCAAAATTCCATCGCAACCAGTCCTGAATCTGTGTTGAAAATAGAGGAAAATTAAGCGAAGTTTGTAAGTTCGTCCACTGAAGTTATTACTTATTTTTTATAGTTTTTTAATGGCAATTGTTATTTCTAAAAAAACGTACTTCATGTAAAGACAGCTCTTGGAGAAGTACAAAAATCTGTATACGGAAGCAGTAATGCTATAGTTAATAGTTTCGGCAGGAAATAAAAAAATTCAAATAAATTTCAAGAGCTTAAAGTGTCCATTTAATCATCTTTAGCTAACATAATTCTGTGAACCAAGAAATGTGGGCTATTGTAGCATTGACTTGAATAAATTTCTTTAAACTCTGTTTTGCTATATTTCATTCCGCCCATATCCTTCTTTACCCATTGTGCTTGTTTTTTTTTTTCATTTGTTTATGTCGTCAGCAAACATGAACTTTTCACTTTTTCTACATTTTTCATAATGTTTCGGTCCTCTTAGCCCAAGCCGCTCCTCTTCTGTTGCCACAAATCACTACTATACATACATATATTATATGTATATAGCATATTCGCAGTGTTTTGTTTCTTCTCTCTAGCGAGCATTTACACTCGAATGTAATAAGTGAAAATACCAGCCACCAAAAGCTATGTATACAACTATGGTTTGACAGGGCAGTGGCTGAATTGCGCTTGCAACGTGCAACTGCCGCCATTGCCGTTTTCACTCCCACCAACAACCCCAATACCAACATTATCGTCAGCTTCATCATCTCCGCCACCACCATAAGCATGGCGGCTTCGTTGGGGACGGACAAACCTGGGAGCTATTTGATATTTGAAAAGCGTTTGCGAGAAGCTAAATAACTTGACTTTGCGCCAAAATAAAAACAATAAAAATTAAAATCTTATTGTTATTGGCAGTTTCTTTCATTTATTGGCCGTATTATTGTTAAACATTGCACCAGCCGAATGTCATAAGTCATTGTATTTGTGGGGCAACGGCAACCAACAATTTGTTTTTAGTTTTGTTGTTTGAGATAAGCCTTACAATTTTTTGTCAGTTTTCTTATTAGGTGTGCTTGCAATTATAATGTTATATATTCTTAGTGGCTTAGATTTTTCCTCACGTTTACTACTTGGTAT